TTTCACCTAATATTATGATATAGTTAACATTATCTCCCTTTCACAAATGAGAAAATAAAGGTATGGATACATCAGGTAGTTCGTCAAGGTCACTACGCCATATTAGCTAAAAGGCATATGGGAAGAGGTGAGACTCTTAATCACCACACGAAACTGCTCCTCCTTGATATACAAATAGTCAGGAGGCACTAAATAAAAGTTGGTAATTGAAAAATCTGAAGAAAAAAAGGCACCTAAGAAAATAATCAAATCCAGTTAGTAAATTTTTATAAAGGCATTCTTAGCAATGGTGTTAACATAAACTGTTCCTAAACTTATATTCAGTAGTTCCAATTTAAATCACAATTCTCATATTTTCTAAAATATTCATTTTAGTAAGTCATTCTGTTTGATTTCTATCATCACTATTAACTCCTCCAATAAAAATATCCTACACACACACACAAACTCTTTAATTTTCCTATATTCTGATCATAATCTTGGAACCTAAGGAATTTTTCCTCCAAATAATTTGGTTATGGGTGAATAATCTTCATGAAGGTAGACTCAGTGGTTTATGAGACTAAAGACAAAGGTGTGAAAAAGAGAAAAGGAGAGACAGGAATTGACCGTTTCTCAATTTCTATCATTAATAAATATCTCTTTTCCTTTTACCTTCTCCAAGGAAATATGTGTCTTTTTTTTTTTTTAAGATTTTATTTATTTGACAGAGAGAGACACAGCGAGAGAAGGATCACAAGCAGGGGGAGTGGGAGAGAGAGAAGCAGGCCCGTGGCTGAGCAGAGAGCCCGATGCAGGGCTCGATCCCAGGACACTGGGATCATGACCTGAGCCGAAGGCAGACGCTTAACGACTGAGCCACCCAGGTGCCCCCAAGGAAATATGTTTCTTACCAAATTATATTGAATTGATGTGAAGTAGAAACTTGACACAACACTTAGAATAAAACAGAACAATGGCACTATATTGAAAGGCACAGAGGTTCAATATTTACTTTTAAAAAAGTGTCTAACAACTGATAATCTGCATTTGCTTGACAAGATTTGCTTATGATTATAGGAAAGCCTATCCAGGTTTAAGTGATAACTGGTTTTAATTGTGCCCTTGGGTTCAGTATTCTCCTGCAGATTATTAAGGAGAAAATTCACGGATGAATTTTTAAAATGTGACATATATTCTTACCCTAATAAAGAATATCAATTATAATCTGAGTAACTTGAAAATGACTTTAAAAAAAATGTAATAATTCAGTGATTTTTTTTCCACAAATATTCTGCTTAGGTTCAAAATAATAATAAAAAAAATGGGGTCATGTGGGTGGTTTAGTGGGTTAAGCATCTGTCTTCGGCTCAGGTATAGATCCCAGGGTCATGGGATTGAGCCAAGCTCCCTGCTCAGTGGAGAGTCAGCTTCCCCCTCTCCCTCTGCTCCTCCTCCCTACTCATGCTTTGTCTCTCAAATAAAATCTTTTTTTTTTTTTTTAAAGATTTTATTTATTTATTTGACAGAGAGAGACACAGTGAGAGAGGGAACACAAGCAGGGGGAGTGGGAGAGGGAGAAGCAGGCTTCCCGCGGAGTAGGGAGCCCAATGCGGGGCTCCATCCCAGGACCCCGGGATCACGACCTGAGCTGAAGGCAGACGCTTAACGACTGAGCCACCCAGGCACCCCTCAAATAAAATCTTTAAAAATAATAATAATAATAAAAATGATGATCAAGTAAACTGGATAATTCAAATAGTGGCCATGTGAAACTACTGGAAGTGTTCTGCACTTTTAGTGAATTATTTTCCAAATTTGGAATTTATTCCAGTATTTATCATGAAATGAAAACCAAAAAAACAAACAAACAAACAAAACAAAAAAACCTTTATAGTGATCTAGACCATGGCATATATAAATTTGTTCCAGCAAGAAGTCTGGTTTTTAGGGCGCCTGGGTGGCTCAGTTGGTTAAGCGACTGCCTTCGGCTCAGGTCATGATCCTGGAGTCCCAGGATCGAGTCCCGCATCGGGCTCCCTGCTCGGCGGGGAGTCTGCTTCTCCCTCTGACCCTCCTCCCTCTCATGCTCTCTGTATCTCATTCTCTCTGTCTCAAATAAATAAATAAAATCTTTAAAAAAAAAAAAAAAAAAAAAAGAAGTCTGGTTTTTAGACACAAGACCTCCTACTCAACCCGTGTACAGTTGTCTATGAAATATAAACCTACCTAATGAAGCAAAAAAAAGATATGTTTATTAACTTATGAAATAGTTCTGGCTGTTGAATTCTAATTTGTAAATCAGTTTATTATTTCCCAAAAAAGCAGAGTACCAATGAATGCCCCAAATCATAAAGATACATATGTTTGCAGAATCATTCTTCTTAATTATTAAATTTGATCTTTACTGAGTAACTGCCATATGCCCAATCATGTATTCCGGATAAGAATTCCATGAAGCGGGGCGCCTGGGTGGCTCAGTTGTTGGGCATCTGCCTTCAGCTCAGGTGACGATCCCAGTGTCCTGGGATCGAGCCCCACACTGGGCTCCCTGCTCGGAGGGAAGCCTGTTTCTCCCTCTCCCACTCCCCCTGCTTGTGTTCCCTCTCTCGCTGTGTCTGTCAAATAAATAAATAAAATCTTAAAAAAAAAAAAAAAAAAAATTCCGGGTGCCTGGGTGGCTCAGTCCGTTAAGCGTCTGCCTTCGGCTGGGGTCATGATCCCAGGGTCCTGGGATCAAGTCCCGCATCGGGCTCCCTGCTTGGTGGGAGGTCTGCTTCTTTCTCTCCCTCTCCCTGCTGCTCCCCCTGCTTGTGCGTTCTCTCTTTCTCTCTCTCTGTCAAATAAATAAATAAAATCTTTAAAAAAAATTTAAAAAATAAATTCCATGAAGCATTTTTTATGTCCATTTTACAGCTAGGGAAACTAAGGATCAGAGAAGGACACTGACTTGCTCAGAGCACAAAATTAAAACAGCTGGGAACTGAATTCAGTCTATCTTAAGCCAAAGCATGCTTTTTCCAAATATCAAGTTAATACCTGAAGCAGCATAGTAATGTGAAAATGTTATTCACCTACCAGCTACATCAATAAAATTAATTTCACAGAACATTTAAAATTATTTGAAGACCACCAGTACACACACTCGATAGCTTTTGAATAAAATGTATTAACAGCTATGTCATTTAGAAGGCAACCCACATCTAGTGAGCACTTCTATCATTGCTTTTACCTACTGAAAAACAGACTGCACTGACAATCCTTGTAACACTCATTATTTTACTCTCCTCCTCGGACAGGACGAGATGCCACCTAAAACTCTTTATTTTGCATTGCTGAAATGGGCAGGGGATGAATGATAATACCCATCTATACCCTATAACGAAGTAAAGAAGCTATCCCTCCCTCCCCCCCTCCAAAAAAGTAAGCCCTATTAATATCTAATACAGAATTCAAAAGTCCGACACAATGTTATTAGGAGTGGGCAATGGGCAAAAAACTGACCAACTGTAAGGGAGAAAGGGGGGTAAAAAAGAGCTCCTTCAAAGTCTGTCCAAAGCCTGAACTGTAGAGGGTCTGGGGTGGGGAGAAGGAAACACGCTCCACTTCGGGAGGCTCCAGCAAGGGCGCCTCCATATGCGGAACTCTCGCCCAATCCCCGTCCAGGCTGAAATCCCGTGACCGCCAGAGAGCCTGTTTGGAGAAAAGTAGACAGGGAGCCCGCAAGCTGGGTTGGCAGAGGACGCTGGAACCTGGCTGCTCGGGGAGAAAATGTCTCCTTGGCAGCTGCAGCCACTGTCCTGTGGTCTGACTTCCTAGGGCTGGCTGGAGGGCGAGGTGTGCCTCTGGCTTCTCCCCACCCCCTTCCCCCATCCCTTTCTCTCCGCGGCTCCTACACTCCGCAGAGCTGTCGCGACCAATGCTACACCACCTAGCTAAAAAGAAAGAAAAAAGAAAATCCCGTGTGCGCGCGGGTCGGCCAGGGCTCGCCCTCGGCTTCGGCCGATGACAGCAGCCCCGGCATCCGCCGCCCTTGCGGAGCGCGGCCCTCCGCTCCCGGGGGCCGGCGGTATGGCAATTGACATTTGCACGGTTCTTCCACACGCAGCCCGCACACCCTCTCCTCCAGCCCTCGGCCCAGCAGCCGCCCCTTCCCCAGCCTCGGACCCCCGAATCCGCCGAGGGCCGCCTCCCTCTGCTCTCCCCGACCTCGCCCCGGGCTCATGGGGACAGAAAGGCGATGCCACCACCGGGCAAGTGGCCTCCGAAGGAACCATGTTAACCTTGCAATGCACACATCTGCCCACACGCCCTGTGTCACAGCCCTGCCAAGCCTGACAGCCTCCCCTCCAGATGCCTGCCCATCCCAGCCCCGCATCCCCTCCCAACCGCACACCCGGACCCCTACCTCGGCCGCCCCTCTACCCCTTCCACCCTAAACCATTCCCAGAAAAGGGGAGACAGGATTTGCTTAAGCAAATATATCTACCTGGATCAAATTCAGGGATCCGAGCTTGGTATTCAGCTCCGACTCTCATCCCAACATCTGCAAAGCAATGCCAAAAAGAAAAAGAAAAAAAAAAAAGAAAGAAAGAAAAGAGGAAAAAAAGAAAAAGAAAAGAAAGAGAAGAAAAAAAGAAAAAGGAAGAGACACTTAATAAAATATAAAAATTGCTGGAGGGAGGAAAGAAGCGGCGGGTGGATGGGAAGATATTAACTCCGGGCACTCCGGGAGATGGCAGCGGATGGGGGCGGGGAGCGAGGGGGGGGCGAGGGCGGAGGATTGGTCGAGGGCGGAGGGACGAGGGTCGCGGGGGGTGCTGCTGCACTGCACCGGGAGTTCGAGGCTACCGCAGCGCCCGGGCTCCGAGGGGAGGGAGGGCGGGAGCGCGGCGAGGGGAGGGGGCTGGGGGAGGGGAGGAGGGAGGGGGGCAGGCGGGCTGGCGGGGAGGAGTTCGAGGCTACCACCGTGCTCGTCGTCGCTGCTGCAGCCGCTCTCGGGCTCGGAGTAGTGCAGCCCGCCGTTGGTGGACGAGGCGCCGCCGCCGCCGCCGCCGCCCGCCGGGTTCTTGGCGCTGCCGTTGGCCGATCGGTTCTTCCCCAGTAACTCGGGCCCTTTCTCCATCATGCCGGGCATGGTATAAGAGGGGAGGGGGAAAGGTGAGGGGAAGCGGTAGGCGTCAGGGTGAAGGGGGAGATGGCTTACGAGTGCGGGCGGGAGGGAGAGGAGGAGGAGGAGGAGACGGCGGCGGCAGAGGAGGAGGAGGAGGGTGTTAATATGGAGCCGCCATAACCGCCCCGGTCCGGCAGTAGCGCAGTCGCCTCACAACTACCCGCCCCGGCCCCGCCTCTCTCCCCTCCTCCCGCCGCCCGCCCCGCGCAGTCCCGGGCGCCCCTGTCGGCCGCGCCGCGCTCTTCGCCGCCGCCGGTATCACTCCGCCCCGCAGGGAGGTTCCGGCCGCGGGGCGGGGAGGGGCGGGGGGGGGAGGAGGAGGGGTAGAGGGGGAGGGGCGGGGAAGCCCCGCTTGCTGGCAGCCCGGGCAACCCCAACCAAGCTAATAAAATCGCCGCAGAGGCGCGGCCGCCTCTCCGGCTTCCTTCCTAGGGGGCGCTCCGGCGCCCGGGCGGAGGCGAACACGAGGGCGTGGGACTCTTTGCCCTCTCAGGGCGGAAGGAACGCGCCCAGCCTGAGAAAGGGCCGGCGCGATCCGAGGGGCCGCGTCAGGGCAGCGGCCCCCCTCTCTCGGAGGGTTGCGGGTCGGGACGGCCGGGCAGGTCTCGGCGGGAGCGCGGCCCCCTTGAGATCCTGCGGCGCTTCGACTGCTCGCTTTCGCGGCTCCTCCGCCGGCGTCGAGCTGGTGTCGCGCCCTTGCCCGCCGCGGAGTCGGACTGTGTGACCGGGCGCCCTCCGAGTTCCAGGCCCCGAGTAGCAGACGCGGTCCTGATTATCTGGACGCTGCGTTTTGTTAAAAACCTTCTCTCCGGTTTCTCTTCTCACCTTTGCTTTATTTTCATCCATTTTTCGCCTTTACTGTTTCATTAGTTAGAAAGTGGGTGTTGTCAGTGGTGAAAGAAAATTACGACCGGGGCCTTGCCCAGTGGTGCTTCCTCAGTCCGCGCTGCCCCGTGGTCAGGGCTTGGAGCGGGGCTGTAGGGAGGGCGGAGCCCCCGCTAGAGGTGGAGGCAAGAGCTGCATTCTGGCAGGGTTTCCAGCCTGGCAGGCTATGTGCTCTGTAATGCTTTTCGGAATTGCATTAGGCAGAAGGGGGAAGGAATAGGGAACTGTTTATTTCGTTCACCAGATTTGAGGAAGTCTGCTCTGTGCCAGCCTGCCTGGCATTGGGAGCTATTTATGATATTCTTTTTCTTTATTACTTATTGTTTTTGCTCAGCAGTAAGAATTGAGGACTTCCGGTGAACAGCTAGTATGCAAATGAATGCAAAGCAGTATTTATGGTCCATAGGTAAGGTATTCTCCCAAACACTTAAAAATTGTCCTGTATGAATTCTATTATAGGTCAATGCGGAGTGGATCAAAGCAGAAATCACTGAAAGCAGAAACATACCTAAAGCAGGAGTGTCTCAATCAGGAATTGAACCAAAAAAAAAGCCTGGGAAGTAAATATTTGGCAGGATCCCTGTCTAAAGAGGAAAGTCTCCTGAGCAGGTACAAAACCTATCTTGTTCTGAGAGTGGAAGTAGTTTGATCTATCGAAGCTTGATATGATTCCCTTAGCTCATACAACTAAACCTTTTATTCATTTCTCTCTCTCAACAAATACAGTTCTGAATATTATTTTAATTCCTGTATAGTTTTTCTACACTGAGAGAATATCCTGGGCAAATGAAATGAATACCATTTCCTATGACAGATACATTTTTTATTGTAAATTAATACGTTGGTATTTTCATTTTTATACACAAGCCTCTATTGAACGTTATTCAGTATCTCTGGTCCTGTAATGCAAAGGCCAGACCCGGAACTAAGTGAATTCACAAAAAGTAGATGTCACTTTGAGGCCTTTTGGCCAGCATGCTAACTTCCCAACTTTGCAACATTTTCCAGCCTCTTTTCTACTGAAAGGAATTTCTGCATATAGATCAAGGATAAAAAAACATTGTGAAGATTTGGGGACTTTTGTAACTTATTTCTAATTATTAGTAAAATTCTTAAGATTCCACACTTTTCTTGAGTACAACAAAGAGGACAGAACAAGGAAGAATGCATTCCACTCTTGGGAGAAGAACCTCAGGGATGGGGGCTTTTCTTTCTGTTTTGTCCCTGAAGAGAAGGAAAACACCTGAAGCTGGCCTGGTTCTGAAGAATAATAAGCCTTAAAATGATTTCCTAAGAGTTAATAAGAACAGTATAAAAAAAGGAAAAAACCTAAAAAGAAAATCCTGGGGATGTCTATAAGGGGTTAGAGGAAAAGAATCCGGTCAAGGAAGAAGAAAGCTTTAAGAAAGGGTTAATAAATAATGTCCAGTGGTGCAGAATCATGAGAAGGGTTTAAGAAAAGGCCTCTGGATTTGTTAACTAGAACAATATTTGTTATCTTGTTTGTTTGACTGCTTTTTGACTGTATTAAAATTTTTTTTTACTATTTTCATTATAGTTTAAATTTGGAATCGATGATACATCTCATAGTTCTAAAATCAAAAGATATAAGAGGAAAAACTTCACTATTGTACTGGACATTCCAGCAACAAAAAGGCAAGGAAAAAATGTATAAGGATTGTTTTTGTTTTGTTTTTAATTTATTTGAGAGAGAGAGAGCGTGCGCATGAGTTGGGGAGGGGCAGAGGGAGATAGAGAAGCAGACTACTCGCAGAGCAGGGAACCTGACTCTGGGCTTAACCCCAAGATCATGACCTGAGCTGAAGGCAGACACTTACCTGGCTGAGCCACCCAGGTGCCCCCAAAAGTATAAGGATTGGAAAGAAATACATATTTTTGTTATTTGGAGAAAGCATGGTAGTCTGTATATAAGATAATCTGTAAACCTTCAGTATTAATAATGAATTTAGCAAGTTGCTGGATACAGTCAGTATATAAAGGTCAATTATGTTTTAAAATACTAGCACTAAATAATTAGAAAATGAATTATTTATTTATTTTTTTTTTAGATTTTATTTATTCATTTGAGACACAGAGATACAGAGAGAGAGAGCATGAGCAGGGAGAGAGGCAGAGGGAGAAGGAGAAGCAGGCTCCCTGCTGAGCCAGGAGCCCGATGCGGGGCTTGATCCCAGGACCCTGGGATCATGACCTGAGCCAAAGGCAGATGCTTAACCACCTGAGCCACCCAGGCGCCCCGAAAATGAATTTTTTAAAGTGGTAACATATGAATGCATCAAAAATATCAAATATCTAGTGTATTAGCTTTCTATGACAGCTGTAACAAATTATCTCAAACTCAGTGGCTTAAAACAAACTCCTGTCATACTTCTGGAGGCAGAAGTGTGAAATCAAGGTGTGAGCAGGGCTGCACTCCCTCCAGAGGCTTTAGGGAGAATTTGTTCCCTGCCTTTTCCAGTTTCTGGTGTCTGCTAGCATTCCTTGGTTTGAAGCAGCATCACCCCAATCTCTGCCTCCATCTCTGCCTTCTCTTCTATGTGTGTTATGAATTTTCCTCTTCCTCTATTATATAAAGACACTGATCGCATTAGGATCCATCTGGATGATCTAGGATTATCTCCTTGTCTCCAAAGCCTTAATCACATCTGCAAAGACCCTTCTTCCAAATAGGGTAACATTTATAGGTTCCAGAGATTAGGACCTGATATATTAGGGGCACCACCTAACATACAGCACATAGGAATAAATCTTAGTGAAAGGTGTATAAGACCTCTATACTGAAAATTATATTCAAAGAAATTAGAGAAGACCCAAATAACTGGTCAGATACAGTATGCTCATGGATTGGAAGATTCAATATTGTAAAAATGTTAGTCTTCCCCAGTTGATCGGTAGATTTAGTCTGATCCCTATTAGAATCCCAGCAGAGGGGCGCCTGGGTGGCTTAGTCCTTAAGCGTCTGCCTTCGGCTCAGGTCATGATCCCAGGGTCCTGGGTTCGAGCCCCGCATCTGGCTCCCTGCTCTGCGGGAAGCCTGCTTCTCCCTCTCCCTCTGCCTGCTTGTGTTCCCTCTCTCGCTGTGTCTTGCAAAAAAAAAAAAAAAAAAAAAAGAATCCCAGCAGATTGTGTGTGTGTCATTTGACAAGCTGAAACTTAAATGGAAATTCAGAAGATCAAGAACAGCCAAGACAGGGTTGCCTGGGTGGCTCAGTCGGTTAAGCGTCTGCCTTCGGCTCAGGTCATGATCCCAGGGTCCAGGGATCGAGCTGCAGGTCGGGCTGGCTCCTGCTCCACGGAAAGCCTGCTTCTCCCTCTCCCACTACCCCTGCTTGTGTTCCCTCTCTGGCTGTGTCTCTCTGTCAAATAAATAAATAAATAAAACCTTAAAAAAAAAAAGAACAGTCAATATAATCTGGAGGAAGAACAAAGTTGGAGGATTTATACTACCAGGTGTTAGAAAGGAGACCAATGGAACTGAATAGAACTCATGTGAACATTTTTTTTATGCGAAGGTGACACTGTACTAATGTGGAGAAAACAATGGTTGCTTTAATAAATGTTCCTGGGTCAATTGAATGTCTATGTGGAAAATAAAAAACCTTGATGCCTACTCATACTAAAAACAAAAGCAAAACAAAACTCAATAGATTATGGACTTAAAAGTAAAAGATAAAACAATAGTGCTTTTAGAAAATACCATGGTTTATTGTCTTTATAACTTTGGGTAGTCAAATTTCTCAAATAGGACATAAAAAGTATGAGGAAAATATTGAGCATTCCAGGTACAGAAAATAGTATGGGGGGTGCTTGGCTGGCTCAGTCAGTAGAGCATGCAACTCTTGATCTCAGGGTTGTGAGTTCAAGCCCCCCATGTTGGGTGTGGAGGTAGCTTAAAAATAAAAAAATCTTAAAAAAAAAAAAAAAGAAAGGAAGGAAACAGTATGGGAAATGCAAAGAATCTTGAATTGTGTTATGTCAAGGAGCTACAAGTAATTTTTTTTTCAAACTTTTTTTTTTTTTAAAGATTTTATTTATTTATTTGAGACAGAGAGAATGAGAGAGACAGAGCACATGAGAGGGGGGAGGGTCAGAGGGAGAAGCAGGCTCCCTGCTGAGCAGGGAGCCCGATGCGGGACTTGATCCCTGGACTCCGGGATCATGACCTGAGCCGAAGGCAGTCGCTTAACCAACTGAGCCACCCAGGCGCCCAAGGAGCTACAAGTAATTTTGTATTCCTGGAGCATGAAGTGAACTCAGAATGGGCCTAGAGAGTTAGGCAAGGACTGAACCACATAAAGGCTTTGATAGTGTTCAAAGGGTTAAGCAATTTATAGATAATGGAAAAGGATCAGGGATCTAAGCAAGAGAGTGATTTAGTTCAATTGGTATTTTAGATAAAAATTGAATGTGGCAAATCAATTAGACTGTTAAATTAGTTAAGAAATTATGAGGTTTAAGTTATGGCAGTGGTAGCAAGAATAGAATTGGGGACAGATACAAATAATTAGGTAAAATGAGCAAATTTGGGGGATTGGTTGAATATGCAAAGGAAGAGGGAATGGAGGAGTCTAAGCTGATACCAGGATTTTGGCTTGAATGTCTGGGTGGATTGTGTCAACAACAGAGTTGGTGAATGCTGAAGACTTACCAATTTGAGGGACAAGGAGAATGAATTCATTTCCAGATATGTCCAGATATCAATAGGGAGATACCAGCATGCAGTTGGGTATATAATTAAGATCAAGAGTGCAGAGAGGGATTTGTTACCAGTTGCTTGTAGCTAACTAAGGTCATGAGACCTAAGTAGATCATGCAAGAAGAGGATGTAAAATGAGAAATATAATAAGCTGAGAATGAAAAGCAGATGGACACAAAAATTGAAAGGCCATACAGAGGACAAGAAATGCATAAAAGAGGCTGAGCATAAATAGAGTGAGAAATAAGAGAACTAAGGAGAGTGTAACTTCCTGAAACCAGAGGTATAGAGAGATCTAAAGAGAAAGGATCACCAGGACAGCAGAGAAGTCAGTAATTAAAGACAAGGCTCCAGTACGTACAATGCTTCGGCAAGTAAGAGAACACGAATGATCTTGGAAAGACCACTTTTACTGGGATCATGGGCCAAAGAACCAAACTGCAGTGGACGAGAAGTGAAGAAGTCCTTTAAGGAAATGGGAACAACTAATATGAACCTACTCCAGAAAAGTACTCATACGGATAATAAAAGGAAAAAAATGGAACTAAGTGTCTTAGAGCAATGTAGCTCTAGAGTTATAGGCAAAAGTAGCATGTAATATTTCAAAAGTTGAAGTACCGAGTGCAATTATTTCTTCCCTATTATCAGATGGATATATACAGCTGGAACTTTATGTTAAGGAAAAGAGAGAACAAAGGTTATCTACGTCTGTGTATATAGTAGGTGTTTAATAAATGTTTGCTGAATTGAACAAAACCAATATCCAGACCATAGCAGTATGTATATATCTCCTTTTTAACATACACACATAAATAACTATAGCTGCCTGTACATGCTGAGAGTGTTTCTGAAAGAGTATATAAGAAACTGTTTACTGCTGGGGAGGGGAGGT